TGCGTCAAAATGAATATCGGATAAAAGCAAACGGCTGCAGTACAACAAGATTCATCCATCCTCCTCTGGTGAGATCAACCAACGAATCTCTTCCTCATGAACTTTTATCCAAATTGAAGGTCCTCCTAACAATTTTATATCAGGAGATTCATCGAAACCAAGTTTCTCTTCGTATCTACGACTTTTCATAGTCAAGTTCCTAGTGTTACAAAAAAACTCATTTTCTAACATATAACAAATCGTTAAATGGTAAGCGTTTAAATTTTTATATTTATTATTGTAATGTGAATCGTCTTTGCCTGTGGTATTTAATTATTTAGTTATACTTGTTTGCTTTAAGACGCGTTTCTTTTGGATGATGGTATATGATAGTTGTCACGTGGTATTTCCCAAGACTCTCTTAGTGTGCTCTTATTTTGTATTTGCTCTTGTTTCTAATTGTGCTGAAGCTGGATTTTTTCGTAACAATTTCCTCAATCCTTCGTCTAATTCGCATTTAATCGAAAAAAATGCTTTTCTTTCGAAAATTAAGGAAATGTTCTATTTTGGCTACGAAAATTACATGAAACACGCTTACCCGGAGGACGAGCTTAACCCAACATTTTGTAGAGGAAGAGGTCACGATTTCTCAGACCGCAACAATATCAATATTAATGATGTGTTGGGCGATTATCAATTAACTCTGGTCGACAACCTGGATACCCTTGCTGTATATTATATTTGTTTTATTTGTATGACAGATTCTAGGAAATGTTTCTGAGTTTAGGAAAGCTGTAAATTTAATTATTAATAGTCTTTCTTTCTGTAAAGATACAATCATACAGATCTTTGAGGGCACAATTAGGTATGCTTCTTATGACCTTACTTTTAGGGTTCTAGGAGGATTAATTTCTGCTCATTTATTAATTACCGATTCTAGAAATCGTTTCGGCCTTTTAAGACCTCATAATTATTCGAATGAACTTTTGACCCTAGCCCATGATTTGGCAAATCGGATGATGGCTGCGTTTGAAGTAATATATATTTAAACATTTTCCAACCTTATACTCTATTTGTCATTTAATTTTGAATTTTTTATTTGTTGGTCAAACTCAGTCACCAACAAGCATTCCATTCCCTCGAATCCACCTTGGGAATGGTCGTATTGCGGGACCAAGCAACGAAACATGCTTGGCAGGGGCTGGTTCTCTTCTCCTCGAATTTGGCACTCTAAGTTTGCTCCTGAATGATTCTACATATGCAGTGGTTGCCAAGCGTTCAGTGGAAGCTTTGTGGAGCAGACGATCTAAGGTTACCGGCTTGCTGGGTAAATTGTTACTTATTGGAATGCGCACTAAGCCTGCTGTTCCTTCTGAATTTGAGTGTTTGAAGATTTTATGTTAGGCAACCCCACTGTAACATGATGAATCATACCCGTCTCTTTTATTCCTTATTGTATGATTACAAATCAAATTACCCGCACTTGACCTCGGTTGCTAGGTTTTTCAGGCAGTGTCAAGACTTCTAATTCCAGGCTTATTAGTATATAGCTCTTGGCTTTTTCTTGATTTCCTGAGTTTTTCAAGACTTAGTTTGAGTGATTTACTAAGCTTTATTTTATTCATCATAGTTTACTTGGGATCAGCTTTCTTGTTTAAAGTAGTTAATCCTTGATCTTACCAGCCTTTTATGTATTTTCTTATAATAAAGTTTTTATTAATCATAGTAGAAACGTGAATAATTGATTTTATCGATATAATCTAAGTTCTTCATATCTATTGGTCTAGTAATGATTGAGTTTCTTAATATGGGAGGTTATTTTGTCGATATGTATCAACATATACAATCTCTAGTGTTTTGTTTTTAAAATAAGTTTCTCTTTCATATAATAAAATGCACATTTTACGATTTAAAACCCATTTAACACATTTAATTTTATTAATCTAGTCATTGTACATATTTTATCTCACAACCCTGGTTTTATTTGCAGTATTCCTAACCATTCTTAAATCGGATGTTTTTAATTAAAGCATATAAAGGTCGTTCTTCCTGTCTTGACTAAAAGGGCTTTTCCTTCATCTATGTTTTTACAGGTTCCAGTAATTGTATTCTTTCGTAATTATTTTAGATGACTGAAGTTAATTGATGCGTATGGTTAATGATATATCGCATGTATATTTGTGTTCGCCATCCTGCTTACTCAAAGTATCTTATTTATCAGCGTTTGGTCCACTACCTTACATAATAGACAGATTTAGCTATCAACAGGCTAAAACTTAATTTTGCTCCTTTCTATTTTATGTAGTTTTCGTTGAACAGGTTTAATCAATTTATGCACATATATTCGATGTATGCAATTTGTATGATTTCGTTTTCGCTACTTTATCGTGTTGTCAGGTCGACCCAGTTGGATGCAATTTGTCCAAACTCCTCTGTTCTTGTAGTTATGATAATTTCCAGCGTTGTACCATGGACTCGGTACATTCCAAGGAGTTTAACCGACATCGTCAGTGGGTCCTGCCACTCTTAGCACCAGGATACAACTAGTCAAATAGGCAAGTGAAATCAATCCCTTGACCTACTTCCTGCCGAATGATTGTGCTAGCCCTCCTCTTTCTGTTCTGACACATTTACCTACTCCCTATGCTCTTAGCTCTCTCCCGCCTATCATAACTCCTGACTTGTTTATATTCCACTTCTCTATAGGTGTGCCCATTTTGGAGAGTTTAATGTGGTGTCATCACACCCGTTTGCCTTTCCCCTTCTCCGTACTCGATTTGCTGATATAACTTGGGCCTCGTTTCTGGATATCCCTCATGGTCCGTAGATTCGTTTTCCATCTTTATAGTTGATTAATTTAACTAAGCTTCAGTCCAAGTATACGTTTCATTTAAGGCGCTATTTCTCATGCCATTTATGTCACATATACCGTCACCTCACTAAGCAGAGCGCTTAGGCTCTCATTTCCATGCATGCAGATATCAGGCAATGTCTCCGGATAGGAGGCTCAGGTCGGATCAGTAAATCGAGAAGTGTGGAGGAGTAAGGTAAGCGGCAGCTGTGATGACGCCACACTAAACTCGACCAAAGGGGTACACCTATGTAGGAGTGAAATATAAACAAATCAGAAGTTGCGAGTGAGATAAGAGAGTATGAAGTAGGTCAGGGGATTGACCTCACATGTCTCTGACTAGCTGTATCTTGGGGCTGAGGGTGACAAGATTCACTGATGATGCCGGCGAAACGTCTGGAAATGTACCAAATCCACGACCCAATACTAATAACTAGATATTTTAGTTGCCGTTCAATCAATTTTAAGTTTATGGCCCTGTCCTTGTTGCCGATCGTGATAATCGCTTTAGCAACGGTCTTGCACGTTCTAATTTGGTGTCTGCTTTCAGGATTCTTATTTATTTACGATACAAGTTTTGATAAGATTAAAAATGAATTGATAGCCATTTTTTTACGCTGAACTGAAGACAATATGTTACACAACTTTATCTCGCCGCACATCCTAAAATTTTACTCTTTTACAGACTGGATGGCAGTTTTTATCCTGTCTTGGTTTCATCTGCACCCTCGATGTGGATGGCGGGCTTGAGTTACTTGGCAGGCAGGACTTTTAGGAACAAACATTCCCTTGAGCACGCATCCTTTTCGGGGATATTTTTGTCTAATGACGATTATGTGTTTCCCAATTTCCTCTATTGACAGAGACATTTTTATATTCAACTCAAGTTTATGTCCTTATAGTATTTTATATTCCTATTTTCTGTATATTTTGCTATGCTTAATTACATTCATTTTTTATGAATCCATATGCGAATAGTCCACTGCCTTGCAACTAATCTATTTTTACAATACTAACTTATTGATAGTCTCGCAAACTACTTATATC